CTTTGGGTTTATGCGTTTGGGTTTTCTGCGCTTATTTCACGTTGCTATGGGTTTAATTACCCAAGCTTGAGGTTTCACTCGCAATAAACTACAATTCAATGCGTGTCTTCACATCGTTCTTCTGCCACAACCAACCACATTGGAATAGGACTCAACTATTATTCCATAATCAAAGGACCAACCTTTCAAAATAGTTGCAACCTCTCTACTGAATACCTCCTAAGAATCTATTAGAATAAAGCTAACAAAAAACTTTCACGACAAGCTGAATTTTTGAGCAAGCTGCTACAAGCGGCTAAAAATTAAGATAATGACTCAATAATAGCGTCAATAAGATCAGTGCAATAAATTGCAGATGAAAGAGTCAGGTCATATTTACTTCTGGAAGACATTTCTGGATTGCATTATCAAATTTAAAGTTCACAGGACAAGCATACTGTTCAAGTTTGCCATCAGTGCAGTACTGGAAATTAGATGAACATCCTGATGAAACAGGACCATTCGGTTTATCGGAACAATCAATCACTAAAATTATTGGTGAAAACTGAAAACAATTTGATTCATTATTTCTAGAAATATATATTTCTGAAAAAAAAAACCAAAACTCACGTGAGGAATTTGTTGAGGCACCATCCAATTCTATCATTAATTGATCGCAAGCACTGATGAGTTTCTGTGATTAAATCTGATCACTGACTTTCAAAACTCCGCAAAATTTCGAACTCTTAATTTCAATTGAGAAGACAAATTATCTTGTCACGGCACATCTGCAAATCTGTCATACATAAGAGGCTACAATCAGCGGTATAAATTGCTAGGCCAGAAATGCATACCACACATTCGGCGGTACATCCTTGTGCATATGCACCATGAGGTGTGAATTCTGAAGATACATTGATTTGATAATATGTATACTATGTACACATTATACATTGATTATATGTATACATTATACATTGATTTGATAATATGATAATATGTATAGGTTGCTACAGTAAATATTTAATAGTCCTCTGTGCTGGAAATAGCAGCTGTGATTCCGACTTCGATTCTGACCCTTCGATTAGTAACTAAGCATGACAAGCTATTACTTCAGCCTGCAATATCATCACTATGGTGATATATCAACCAAATATGGCAATCTGTAATAGATAAACCGGTAGTGAAAATACTCTACAAAGTGGAACAGAGCTTGCTACCCGCGGTAAACATGCACTCAGTGTCGTACTTCAGAAGATCGGGGCATTGAAACTTGACGGTCTTTCCTGATAGGCAGAGGGTCACTTCTCTTGCACAACCTTTCCGTAAACTCCATCTGGTAGCTCGACACACGAAAACTCTAAAATACACTAGTTGAAAATAATTCCCAATCAAGTTAGAATCTGATTCGAAAGATCAACCATAACTAATTAGTTACCTGGAGATGATGGAATTCATGTTGTCACTGTAGAATGTATTGGAGACGAGCTTTACAGCTGGGGTGTTCTCTGAATTAAAAGTGACGCTATTGCAAGCTAATACATTGATCTATAAGGAGAAAAAATCTGGAAGTCTTTAATCTGAAGAATTTCAAGCATAACAAAGTGAATAAGCAATGATATTTTTTTAAAACACTGTTTCGTGATTTCATCATATTTCTCCATTCCAGGGCACCGCATCAGGATTGATATGCCATTTACACATGCGTAGAACTTATTAGAACCATACATAGAACTTATTCGAACAACTCGATCCATACAATCCATTTAGTTCGGCGTTACAAGATGGGTCTGAATAGTGACAGTTAATAAAAAATCAATTTAAAATCAATGAATAAGTACTAACTTATCATCTATTAATATAGCAGATTCTGGTTTATTGTTTCTGCATGTAGAAACATCTTCCTAATCTTGAAGTTTATTTATCTACATTCCAAACAAACTTGAACTTACTAGAACCCTAAACTTGCTGAATACTAATATTCATATTTCAATATAGCTATTTGAATCATTCAACGCGAGCGATGGAGTGATAATATAAAAAATATCAATGTTTAAGAAGTTTAAAAAGAAAAAATATCAATGTTTCATCTACATGTTTTTAAAATTCCTTGAGGATATTAATTCGATAATACAACAAAATTGACCATTGTTAAACATTTCGCAAACGTCTTATCATATTTTAATGATGTTGGGCACATCATTAGTACTGGATTGCCAGCTATACAAGCAACGAATTATGATGAACATCTTCTGACCAAACATGCCATCAGGTAAGAATGCGCACGAAAAAGCTGAAAATACACTTATAAATTTCCGGTCAAGGTACCAAATTAAGGAAGTATGGAAAAACCTGTTTCCAACGTTGGCATATTCTTAAACATAGATTCCTCTGAATACTCTTCTAGTGGGACTGTTTCAATTTCAGGGTCTTTATTTTTACAGGAAAAAATTTGCGGTCTTCCTTTCTGTAATATTGACAATAATAGAAAAACTAGACCCATTTTAGATTTACTTTAACTTTCAGAACCTTGTACATCGATAAATTTTGGCTGAAATTTGCAGTACTTTGCTTCAGCGTCGTACAAAAAATCACGCTGACATTGTAACAATGCGGTGTTACCTCTGATGCACAGATAAAATTCTGTAGGATTCATATCACCATAAATACTGTCCGATAAGCTAGTACATGAAAAAACTGGAATTTTCAAAAATTAAAATGGATTAAAACTTTTTTTTATTCCCAAATTAACGTACTTAAAGGTTTTAGCTTCGATGATAACTGGTTCTTGACTTCACTAGCAAAGGCTTCTTTCGTAGTCTGCTTTTGTTGCTTGGACTAAGACTGGTACATCATTACTTCTTGTGCCATTATTTCTTGTTGAGAACATAGCGAAGCTTGTAACCAAAATGAACGTGATCTTTTATTATGGTTTAAAAATTAACGGTTGTCACTCCAAAAAGAAAGACGCTTACTCCCGGTACACATGTTCACTATTGAGGTTAAATTTCATGAGATTTGTTTCCGCTAAAGCATACGAATAATTGATTGGAGCATTCGGTGCCATAAATGCCATTTTAAAGATCTTTACAAAAGTTTTCTAAAACTGGTTGCTATTTCAGCTTATGTTTGAATCTCAAGCTAACTAATCAATTCAAAAAAAGGACCTCGTTTGCCGATTTTACTGATTCCAGATTCAAAAGAATATTAGAATCTTCCCTCGTCTTTTGCATAATACTCGATTCGAGAATATGCGGTATATACTGCAACAGTTCTGGCCTCCGGATCAACAATATGACCATCGCACTCTATAAATACAATTTATTTCGGATTATGATTGATAACTGTGTAAAAAAAGAGGAAAAAATTGTTATCTCTTCCATGAAAATCTTGGATTCTTCATCAAACAAAAAACCTTCAGGACATCGTACCATGACTGCTTGTTCACCAAAACATACAATCATTTCATTTCTGCACATTTCACCGTACAATCCATCAAACATCCTTTCATATGAATAAACTGAAAATAATGTAGTTCCTAATCTTAGTTTGATTTTAAAAAAAATAATTTTTTTAATATAAATTCTCACCAAGCATATTATGGTGCATTGCCTGATCATACACTGAAGATAATTGTAACGATTCTACTATATGGTCGTCAGATTCTGGCATATCCAAAATTGCGGAAAATCGCAGACTTGAAAGACCGAAGGACTTTCTCACTGCTACTCCCGATGGCTTTTTAGCTAATAATGTTACAGTAGGTACTACAGACAATTCAAAGAATTCATTCATAAACAATGGTTCAGTTTTACATTGAGCTACCTGATCCTGAAAAATTCCTAAATAATGATCTGACTTTAAATATGAATTTGATTTGTTTTTTTAAAAATTTTTTAATACTCACTGTTGGTTGGCCACATCATATTTTGATAATCCTGGATATTCGTCATATAGCACTGATTTATTAAATATACATGCAATGAGTACTGACGAACAGCTTACACTTTGGAAGCCACTATTGAGACCCAAACATGAGAAATCTGAAGGCATAAATTCGTACTGAAAATGAGCTTAAATTTTGATTTCTGAACAAATACTTAATTTCCAAATATTTATTGGTCCATGAAAGAAAATATCTTACTCTGTAAGCGAAAATCTGCTACTGTACTTTCTAGATCGCTAGCATTTTTGACAGTTTTCTCTAGTGAAGAATTTTTACAATGTTCCACATAATCCCTGAAGATGACGTAAACATTGAAAAGATATATTCAGATTTAGGCATTATACGAAGAGTTAAAGATATTTTGAATATTTCAAGCATTTAATCAAAATATTCTGTAAGATGACTTGAGCTTTATAGTGTGAAATTAACATGATAATATGTACTTTTCAGCGCATTCCCAGGTGGTGATATCCAATACTAGTCTTTCTGGGCATGACAATTATATAAGGAATTTCATTGGTTAGCACATTACGTAGTTTTTTGTACAATTTAGAGAGCATAGTCCATTACAACGTCCACTGCAAAATTTAGTCAGGTCTAAAAATTTCAATCTATCAATGAGCAAATTTGTATTATGATCAGTCTCATGTTTTACATGAAGGATGAAAGGTCTTTAAACATTTAAAAGAATAAGTGACCTTCGTAATTAGGCTTAATGTTAACTGACATTAAATTCTGGTTGCTATAGACTTTGTCACATCAAAAGCCTTTCGCATACTGAGTATTCCTTCTTTTCTTTCAATCCAAGTGCGGTCGTTGGCTGAAAATCAAATACATGAAAAGTATTTGTTCGACTAAACTAGAATGCATAAAAATAAATTAAATTTATTAAGAAATATGACGAGCAAAAATTACTTCTATATGTTTTTAAACTTGGTTCTGGTCATTTTCTTCTATGAGATATCATTAAATTGCAGTTGCCTAAAATTAAATGCCATTAATTTTAATGTTGTTAATTTCTCATGCACAGGATGGCTCATCAATGTTTCGTGAATAAATTTTCAGTAAATTCAGTTCCCAATATCGATTATTAAAATCATAAAATGAAATTGAATACCTCTTGAGTATCGTTGCTGCCTCACCGAGCTCTTCGTTTCACTGTTTGGAAAATGCAAACTTACATCAGCTGATATGCTCGCTGAAAATCATAAAGCAATATAGTTACAAAGAATCCTTCCATTTCGACAATTCGAACAGAGGCTAATTTTTACTGGTTGACGCAGATATGCTAGGAAATCGTATTGGGTATGACCATTCACAGTTAGGATGCTTATAATGCGTAGAAATGATTATTTTTCTGCCTGAATCTTAGCTAAATTTAAATGCTAACACTTATAAAAGCATGACTAAATAAACTAGAATAAAAAAACAAAACAAAACCTGGCCGAAATATGAAAGAATCGTGAATAATAAACAAGCATTTTTCATGATATCACTATGTATGTTGATCCTTTCCAAATGATTAACTCTCCCTCTCTCTTTCTCCATTGGATGAAGTAATTGAAGGTCAGAAAATAGCCCGTTTTTACAGTTCGACCATTTTTGTCATCAAGAAGTGGCGCCAGTCGAATTGGTCAAAAGAGAATAAGAGAAACATTCTGAAGCGCATACGTATCCCTAAGGCTGATCTCATATTACAAGCAATTTTTCCACATCTGAACAATATTTACATATTTGAAAGAAAAGAATCAAGTTCCGGTAAAAGTTTTTCGGCTTAGGTCTAAAAATAAAATTATTACAATTATCACACACCCAACATACGAATTTGCAAAAAGTTACTAATTTAGATTAGAGCAAAAAAAAAATAAGTGTTAAATCATCATGTTGTGGCAATTTACATATTTGTTAAAAAAGATAGAAGGAAAATTGAAAATTTTCGATTATTTACTCAAAGTCCAATCAAAACTGTAGGATTAGATAAACGTTTGACATAAAATAAATATTGGATTCCAAGCGATGACATCCGAAAATTGCGAAACCATAAATTTCTGATTTTCAGTTCTTTTTTTACAAAACAATCTTTTGTTCAGTGATTTTTTTAAGATGATAAAAGTCATGTGATGCTTTTGCAGTCAATTTATGATGCATTACAAATCATTTTACTGATTCATGACTGCATGTCATGCATGCATGACATGCAATTTTAGCAAACTGAGTGATTCAATTTGCTGATAAAAAAGTGCCTTACTTTACCTTTTGTTTGATTCGTTGATATGATTAATGATAGTTGTTCAAATTATTACGGTTATTTATCTGTTTAGCAGTATAATTCATTTTTGTTTGACTTAAATCGTTTGCGAGTGCTTATTTTTTTAATCTCTTATTCAATTTTTTCAGACATTTCAACGAATAAAATATAGATTTCAGTAATTTTAAGGTGTGGCATATCGTACTGGATAAAACTGAACATCTCAAGAAATTTAAATGACATCAATTATGATAAATTCACAGTGATAATGAGGAAACTGCTCATGAAAAAAACTAAACGATACAAGCAAATGTAAACAAAACGTAGTTTAGTTATATAGGGAGCCTAAAATGTTGTGTTGTGAGTTTAAAACTGGAGCTAATATTTAAGAAACAAATATAATTTAAAGTTTTAAAGCACTGGCTTAAATGACTGTTCCTATTTTCGGGTTATTGATATAAGCGTGCCAATTTACTTTAACCATTTATTAAACAGGTTGAGATGAAATTTATATTTTGTACGGATAATTATATTTCAGTTTACTGATGACTTTCTTTTTCTGATATTATTTATTTTTGGAAAAAATTTTTACAATTATAGTATTATGAAAGACAAAAGAACGGTAACAGTGGCAAGAAACGTTTATTTACAGACACTATTTCAGATTTCTACTGGTTTTATAAAACACTTTCTTTATCATCAGGCTATTGTTTATAATGTTTTATCATTTTGATGATATGAAGCCATGACTGATAAGACCGCAATATTTCAGGAAATTTCATATTAAATGAAGCAAGCTAATCCTGAAAGTTCGTTTAGAAATCTACCTTTAACGCTGATGAAAAGTTTCGTACATGGAGATTGATTTTCGGTTAACTTCTTCTTTCTTGTCGATTTATGAATTGTGTAATTAATTCCAAATTACAGTTTTGAAAAATATTTGAAAAAGTATTTAGTTTATGAAAAACAGAGAATGATGATTTCATTTAATGAAATAAAGATGAAAAAACCGTGAAAAAGTCAACTTTTAATTCAAAGTCTTTACAAATTTTTAAAAATTATAACTAAATAGAAAGTTAATCTAGAGTAAATTTCTCATCAATATACAATTTGATCGATCTTGTTGATTTCCAGATGAAAGAAGAGAAGCACTTTTTTCATCGTTCATCACAACGCAAATTGCATAAGTTACTACGAGGAACGGGTAGGAAACAGGGCACTGCGGATATAACATACACAATCACTCCACCTCTCTCCTCTCCTCTCACCCGTCAACTCAGTTCTGCTCCACTGTTACGTTATCAGAAGCTTAACGTAATATTTCTCTACTTCTTCATATACCGTAATTATTTTAAAAAAATTCTGTATACTTGAAAAAAAAATTCTCAATTCATATTTTTATTATTAACTCTCTTCACCATTCTTTTATAAATTTCTATTAAATTATTTTGTTGTCGGCTTTTTTTTGCCAGTCGAATTATTTCTTTCTGATGCTTCAATTTGACGATTGTATTACTGTAATTTATATTAAAGTTCATTCAGTCATCATTGCAAATATATTTAAATATACTCGATTAGAAAAGAATTTAGAATGTTATCTCGTAAATCATTAAAAAGAAAAAAAATATGATAAATCTTGTGGAACGGCAAATTACTGTTTGTTCTGTGCAGGCAATATTCTGTTTCAATTATACATTCTTCGTTCATCACTGTTAACATATCTTCTGTCAGCCGAAAAATAATGCGCATATCGATATTTCCAGATATTACAGAACTTCTGTTCTTGCGGGATATTATTACTTTTGTCCCTCTACGAATGACAGATTCGATGCCCACTTATATCCATTTCCGGTAGCATACGTACTTTTTCAATAATATCTTTACATTCTTACAATCATAACTACACTATTCACATTGAAGATGATTGTAAGGTTTCGCATAACTCATTAGGTTTACTGAAAGGCATGCACTTCTAGTACAACATTTTCAATGAAAGTTGAAAATGTTACACAAATACTGTGACAAAATGAGCCTTTTGAGAGAAGACTAAAATTTTCTGTGCCATCATCGTAAAAATACTTCCACTTTGCGATAATACATTATTACAAATCTATTTTCATCAATTTGTTCAAAGTGACATCAATCAAGGAGTTTTTAAAAGGTTGTTCGTTTCACTTTTTGAAGCACTTGATTCTTCATATATTATTATCACTACCGATGAGGCTCTTTGTCTTATGATATTCCAATTTGCTTAAATTTATTCTAGCCAGCTACATATTTTCTATACTTGGTCCTATGAATTCAAAATTTTGATATCGCTCAAAATATTAAAATATATTAAAAAAAACACATGTTTAAGATTCGAAATTGACTGCCTCTTGAAATAATTGGTATCAAATTAAGAACTGTAAACTATGTTAAAATTAATTGCCTGCAATTATTTTCAGGCGAACAAGTTTATTTTTTTTTGATTCTTCAATTAATCATTAATTTCTTTCTGATAATATTGTTAGTGTATCATTTCTTCTACTATTTCAATAAACATAATCAATCCTTGTTGCTAGACATATTCGTTGCAGTCTTTGTTAAAGCTATTTATTCTATTGTTTCTTGCCATTGTTATCATTATCGCTGTCGCAATTGCGAGTATTGCAATCATTATAATCTATATCATATCTACATCACTTCTGTTGTCACTATTTATAATACCAGAGATAATGTTCTCATTTTTAAATTTTCATGGAACTTAGAGTATTGAAAATATGCTTCAAATAAAATAGTTTAAAATAATTATAACAAACTGTATTATATTTAATGCATTTATTAGATGAAGATGCATGGAAGTGTTAATGAATAAAT